TGCTACTTGTAATTGTTATTTGCCTTCATATGAAGAAATAAAAGCGACAGTCTTATGCTGCAGATTTCTCACCTGTCATGAATGTAGATGTATGTGTTGATACTTTGAGCACTAGTACTCTTCTTTCTTAAAATTTACAGGAGATACTGACACTGCCAAGACTTCTGATGATATCAGTTTAAGTCTTGGCCAGAGTTCTAGCCTATGTAAAGAAGGGAGTGAAGAACAAGGTAAAATTTCTTCTTCCTGCATATTAAACGTGGTATTTTGTTACCAAAGACCCTTTGCTTAACATGCTAAATAAATTAATGCAATTTGTTGATAGACTGTAAGAAAGGGTATCTCTAAGCTCTCTGTTTCCTTTCTTAATTACTCTAAGTTCCTAGGATGCATAGCTTGAGTACTTCTAACTTTATTCTTTGGCTGCATGCTTTTTGTTCTGGCATCTCCCAGCAGGTAATAAATAGTTACTATATTCTCTGTCTCCTTGCTGCTGAAAGGTAGCTAGCTTGCACATCTCTAGATGATCTCTCTCACACTGAAGGTGGCCTGGGATTCATGGATTTCACTGTAGACTAATTTGCTTTGCTTTCCAATACAGACAATTTTTTTTTTTTTTTTAAATTGCTTTTCTTTAAAGAAAATACTCCAGTGCAGAGTTCTGTGTTTCTGGAGCTGTAGACTGATTCTAATATGCAAGCTATGAGAGTTTTGTAATTGGGTTTTTTCCTAGTATGTAAGGAAACTGCAGGCTTGTATTCTTCAGTTGTCCAATTTAGTTTCAAGTCTCATTTTTCATTTAGCTTTATTGCTAGAAGTTGTCTGCTCAGACTAAAATAACAAAAAACTGTAGGGAAACTCTTTGTTTGCTGATTTTAAGTACCTGGTGATTAGCAGGAAGTTAACTCTGGGAATTCTGTAGTTCATTTTGGCCAATCTAATCAGCCTGATGGGTTCCTTTCAGTTGTTACTGTGTGATTCAGTGCAGAAAGTATGCTTAAAATAGAGGATTACAGGTGGCTGGGCTGTTGTAATAGGGTTCTACTACTTTCAGCTGAGTAATGGAACTGTTTGTGAAATTTCTTAAGTTACACATTTGTAAATACACTCTACAAAAAATTAGCAATTGTAGTAACTTCACCTGGCCTTCGGATCTTTTATTTTTAGTAACAGTACTGAAAAGGAAAGTAGCCTGACATTTAGTACTACCTGCAGGTGTGGATGCTTTTACTGGAGACCACTTGTGATGAATAACAGAAACAATTGTTCTGAGCAAAAGCTAAAGGCAAATCCTCATGATTTGCTTTAACCACACCAGTTTTAGAGGTAGTGAAACTCAGTAACTTCGTAGGGAGTTTTGTTATAGGAATTTCATTATATAGTACCAATAGACCTGGCCAGTGCCTGCAGCCTTGCTAACTGTGAGCTGACTTGGCATCTGGTAGGAAAAGGTTGGACCAAATCTTAAAGGTCTTTTTCAAACTAGATGATTCTGTGATTCTATTAAAGATGATTTTGGGGGGTTTTGTTGTGGCTTCAGAGGTAATTGGCTTTACTTTTTTTTTTTTAAATAATTTTAAAGGTTATGTGAAACAAACAGTTTACTGCGTGTAGGAAACAAAACAAAAGGCGGGGTACCTTTTTTTTAATTAAGAAACCTTGGGATACATAAAACCATTAAGTCTGAGACACATGAGCAGTAGAGGAGGTTGGGGACTAGTCAGAATTGTGTTGTCTTTTATTAGCTGCTAAGATTAAGCTGGTGTTGATGGTTTCTTTTTTATAAAAAAAAAAAAAAGCTCTGTCAGGTTTGCCCAGATGCTAGGGAATCTTCTAAATGGTAATGTGATGCATAGTACTTGCAAATGGATTTGTCAGTTTATTTACTTTAGTGTAAACAAGCAGTTGTAAAGCAGACTGTATAACTTACATGAACATTGTACATGAATATTTTTAAATATGTGCTTAAACAGATTTGGCAACTGATCGGAAGCTTTTTCGTCTGGTGTCGAATGACTCGTTTGTCTCCATCCAACCTTCATTATCCTCTGGACAGGATTTGCCAAGAGACAACAGCGACAAAGTGTGCCTCTCGAACAACCAGCTTGTGGACCAGTCTAAAAACAGTGCATGTGACGCAGAAGTAGCTTCGCTTGTAACTCTGCATTCTCACTCCTATAGGAAGGATCATAGACCACGAGGTGTACCAAGGACTTCTAGCTCTGCTGTCGCTTTTCCAGATGCTTCACTAAATGACTTCCCCCTCTATCAACAAAGACGAGGACTAGATCCTGTCAGTGAGTTAGAAGCTTCCAAGCCCCCTTCTGGTTCCAGAGAGTCCTTGGCTGAGAACTCTTGCATTTCAGGAGTTTTTCAATTAGATGACATTCTGAAAAGTAGCAGCCCTCAACCATTGGCTAAGAGTGGGAAGAGCAAATCCTTGAAAGCAGACAAAAGTGTGGACAGTCTGAGAAGCCTGAGTACTAGAAGCAGTGGTTCAACAGAAAGCTACTGCAGTGGGACTGATCGTGACACTAACAGTACCATCAGTAGCTATAAAAGTGAACATACTAGCTCGACGCATATAGAAAGTGTGTTATCGGAGCATGAGGAGGAGTCTCCTAGAGAAGAGAAAAAGGATGGTAAGAAAAAGGACTGTGGTGTTGACTCAGAGGATGACAGTAGTTCTACTACTGACAAAAGGACTAGTAGCGAAAGGACTGCTGTGGAAGTGAGCACTAACAGTGGTGTTCAAGAGGTAAAGGGTTCTAATGCATCTGATGAGATGCACAGTCAGAAAGGTCTCAGTGCCTCTGCGTCAGAGGAGGCCAATAAGAACCCACATGCCAATGAATTGACTACGCAAGCTGACAGGCCACCTGGGAAGGCTGCTGAACAAAGAGATGAGCAGAGTGAGAAACTGGCTGTGTTAGATTCAAGAGCTGCTAAAGAAACTAGTGGAAAACAAAAAGAAGGAGATGTTCGACCAAAATCTTCTAGTTTAATACATCGAACAGCTTCTACCCACAAGTCCAGCCGGAGAAGGACAGGAAAAAAGCGGGCTAGTAGTTTTGATTCAAGTCGGCACAGGGAATATGTTTCCTTCCGAGGTGTATCTGGTACTAAACCTCACAGTGCTGTGTTTTGTCATGATGAGGACTCCAGTGATCAAAGTGACTTGAGCAGGACATCAAGTATGCAGTCAGCTCACCAGTTCAGCAGTGATAGCTCTTCCAGCACCACCTCCCATTCGTGCCAGTCTCCTGAGGGAAAATACAGTGCTCTAAAGACCAAATATGTTTCTAGAGAACGTGGGGGCACAGACCCTGAAAGTGCTCACAAACCCCATGTAAGCTCTGAAGGAATTGGCAAAAAACGATCTACGCGTCGGACTTCTAGCACAAACAGTGCCAAGAATCGTGCCAGAGTATTAAGCCTGGACAGTGGTACTGTAGCTTGTTTAAATGACCCAAATAGTTTAATGGCACCGGGTAACATAAAACAGTTAACCACTTCAAAATCTGATTTGGAAGCCAAAGAAGGAGAGGTGCTAGATGAGCTATCTCTGTTGGGAAGGGCTTCACACCTAGAGTCAGTCACTCGTTCTAGGAATAGCTTACCAAGCCAGGCTACGTTTCCTGAAGGGGAAGAGCACGAATCAGCAAGTGGAGGTAAGTAAATGACCAGAAGTACCTTGCTGTATTTTGTTAATGAGTCTGGTATCTATGACTTAAGTTACAACTATACTTAAGTGTCTTCCTGTTTCTTTGTTCTTGCCTAGTAAAACTGACAAAAGCATTTCCTTCATAATCTCTTGGAAGTTCTACAGAAATGGGAGTTGAATTAAAACAAATGTTTTGCAGTCTATAGGTGGAGGTGTTACGGGTTTGTAACTGGCAGTCTTTGTTAACCAGAGCTGTATCTTAAAATTATTTGTGATCATATCAGACCATCCATTCTATTACTCAAACTTCAAAATATGTGTACATGTTAACAATAAGAGAGACTACTTTTGTTTGAAAGATCTTGCAGTTTAGAAAATTGGGAACATGGGAGTGATTGTGTGAAGTTACTGCTGCCTCTTAGATGAACTCTCTGGCATGGCTTGAGGTGGTATCAAAAAGAAAAAACCAAAACAACAAAACACCATGCTGCCTTTTTACGATGGTCTAGTTACTAAGCTGAATTCTCCCAGGGATTTGATTTTGCTTAGCCTTGCCATTGTTGGCTAGACAGTGGTGTTTACTTTGGGTAGTTTTTTTTTTTTGTCCTCATTATGAGAACACAATAACCTTCCTGTCCTGGAGAAAGGAATGTAGTTTCCTCTTACTTTCTGTAACTATTGCTTTGCTTGGTGTGAGTACTAAGCTTACCTGTAGTAGCTGGTATTAATATAAATTAGATTAATAGGAGCATTTAAAAAAAAGAAAATTGGAGCTCTTAATAGTTTTTTGTTTATAACTTGTTATGATTTTTCATTGTCTTTTCTTGGTTAGCCATATTGACTGCCTTAACTGGAAGGCTTTTTGTGTCATGGAGGATAAGTGGGTTTAAAATACGTTTTCAGAACAGTATGGGATTGCTAACTGCCTCAGTCTGACTTTTGGGATTGTTTGAGGGGAATACCTACCAGATAATCTAGATCTTGTTAGCTAAGCACACAAATGCTTCATAAAATTGTGGTTCAGATCAAAACAGTATTTTTAAGAAATTGTGGCAAATTTACTGTCCTTGTTATTTAGACTGCCTAAGCGAAGTATAATCACTCTTCCATCTTAAAAGGAGAGACTTCCAACTCACAGTGAGATGAGATATGGCCAATAGTGGTTGGTTTTTTTTTTTTTTCCCCCCCCCACCCCTGACACTGACATAAAAGCAAACTCTAAGAATCAGTATAATTAATTCCTAGAGGGGTAAAAAAAGTGTGCTACACTGAAGGTCATCTGTGTATTGATTACTGATCAAATTTGACTGGTTTATGATTAGCTCAGACCTATTTAGATACCTTCACTTAAAAAATAAATCTGCATATATTGGTACTTTTTATCTTCCTGTTACTCATAGTAACTCTTCTACAGTAGCTTTAATGAGAGAGTCTGGGTTACCTTTTTAGTACTAACTCTGCAAGCTAAACACTTACCACACATTCTTAAATGCCTTGTTGAAGTGACAGCTCTTCTTTATGTCTGTGGACAATAATTTGGCTAATAAAAGGTCTGCTTTATGTATTTACCGTTTTGACACTATGCTCTCCTTAGCACAAGATTTAATTTCATTTTGGTTTGTGTTACTACAGCTTAAAACTGCTAAGGTTCTCTCGTTATATGCAAAGCATATACAGAACATGTCAGACTTTATATACGCTCACCGGTTACCAGTAGTCTGAAAGAATCAGTGCATGACTGATCACTGTATATTGCCAAATATTTTGATTGCTCTTTTAAATAATGAAATGGTGGGCAAGACCAATCCTAACACATTTAAAAGCAATCTTAAAGTTACAAATCTGTAGCGGCTTAAGCAGGGAAGTCTTGCTGTCATTCCCACTGTACTGTTGTCTTCAGTTTGGTCTTTAAACTTTGTTTAGGTAATGGTCATTTTGACATTGTTAGTATTTTTAATAAATGGCAAACACCCAAGTATTACTTGCCCATGGGTTTCAGGCTGACTTTAAGAAGCAATCCGGATTCAGGTTCTCCAGATTTGATTACATCATATGATTAATAACACTTGCTGTACCTGATGTTTTTTATTACCAATAGAATAGGAAATATTTCCATTATGATTGTAAGAAATAAATGTCATTCTTGTTTTTTTTGAAAGCAGAACAAAAAATACCACTTTTCTTTAGCATTACTTACATATTTATGGAGTTATGTTTAGCATCAAGCCAGAAATTATTCTGAATTTAGCTTTTCATGATCGATCTGAATAATTCGTTTGTGTTGTCCTTTGTTTCTACTGGTTTTTCTTTTGTGTGTTTTTTGTTGGGTGGGGTGTTTTTTGCCAAATTTATAGCTTATATTACAAGTTTTATAACAGCTGTGTATTTAATTATGGCTTTCTTTTTTTGGGCCTACCTGTGACCAATAGTAATCAGAGAAAATGTTTTAACTTTCTGGATTCTAACTTGCTTTATATTCAGTATTTCCCACTGTTGAGTTGTCTTTACCCTTTGGCAGTGTTTTTAAAGACATACATGTGTAATATATATTTCTATCATATGTGTGTATATCCAAGTTATTTGAGAAAATTAAGAAGTTACTTTATTTCCCTGCAGCAGATAAATTACAGAATAAACTTGGTTCAGATTGTCATAGGATCAGAGGATATTGGTTGGATGGGACATTTAGAAATTGTCTGGTCCAACCTGCTGAAAGAATTATTTTATAATTCCATATAAATATTTTTTAATTTCTGTGATTGCTTATGATAACCTTCTGAAACAAATAATTAACAGATGCATGCTGGATAACCCAAAGGCTGATATTAATACCATCTCTTCTTTTTTGGTCAGCAGCTTTCAGTTCCTATTTTTCAAATATGACTTAAATCAGTAATTATAACTTCATTTTATCTTTAAGTCTTTAGGGATTAAACTGAAAAGTACATTCTTACTTGTTTGTGTAACTGCTAAAGTGTGTTTCGTAATGGATATGGTCTTTATTAGTTTTTTTTACTAAGCAGGATGCTATACAAACTTGTACGTGTTTTACTTCAGCAGATACAACTTAGCAGTTTCATTTCTATCTTCCTATGCCAGGAAGTGGTGAATGACTCACTTTTTACAAGATAACTTGTGCATTTGCCTAGAAATTGCAGTTCATTAAAATGCAGACAAACAGCATTTGAAACTCTGTAATTAAACACATGTGGTGGATGTATAACAAAAGAATGGAAGATGGCTTACAATAGTTGTTGCCCTCATTTAACTACTCGGCATCTAAAAGTAGCTAGTGAATTGATGGGTTATGGGCTAGGTGGATTTGTTTAGATGTCTAAAAGTTTGCTTAGATGCCTAGAGATATTCTGGAAATACCACCTTGACACTCTCCTATGCCTAGCTTCTGTCAGATATGTGCTATTTCTGGATTGCTGTTTGTGAAGGTTTAAAGAACGAGCACAATGCCATATATGACACAGTGATGTTTAGTAAAACTTGACCTGACCTGAAAAGTCATGTGTTCTCCCCCAGCTCTTTCTTAAATGTAAAAGACGCACCCACCCTTAAGTTGCTGCTCTCTTCTTGCAGCTTGCTGTAATTTAAGATTTATTTATTTATTGTAAGTTCTTGAGTTACATAGCCTTTTGTAAATAAAACTGCATGTAATGTAATGCATTTTCCTTCTGTGTGTTGCATAGCAATACTGAAGTAATGGCTCATACTGTTTTCTTGTGTTTTGTGGTCTGCAGTACACCTCTACAGGCAGGCAAAATAGGGTTTTGTGAGCTTGGATTAGAATCTTGACTTTCATATAGCGTATGGAAACCTGTTAATCTTTTCAGTCCGCATGTGTTTGTACATACATGCTTAGCATATCTGCCTGCAATCATTAGACAGTGTCCTCTCCAAAGTTAAAAGTACAATTCGGTTCTCTGCTATGCAGCCGCTGGTCACGTCAACTGTTACCAATGTATCACACTTTTCCTACTATGCTGATGTTGCGTATAGTCTACAGCCATTATTTATTTTGCCTGTGTTGTAGAGCTGTTCCGTGCTTCTGATGGCTTTAGTTTAGTATGTTTCCTGCAGGTGGAATTAATACGGTTACAGAAGATGGGGCTTCCGGTCTGTTTTCTGGGAGTCTATCAGTTCACATTCGAACTGCTATAAACCAAACTGTTTTGCATGAGAAATCGAACCCTGAAAGAGTTTAGAAATGGTGGAAACTGAAAAAAGTGTAAAGCTACTGTAATCTGGTTGTGTGTATGTTAGCTATCTA